CCCTTCTCCCCTCAAAATCCCTCCCTCCTCTCTCGAAATAAGAAAAAAGGAATGCAATCTCTCTCCCTGCCTCCCTCTCCATCTCCCCCCACCATTCCCCACTCCCTCCCTCCCCACTTTCAACCTAACATGCCAATGCTTCTCCATTTGGCCAAATTTCCTCTACTTTCCTCTCCATTAACTGTCCACTCTATCCCCACTTTCGACCCTCCCTCCCCCTCTACTTTCCTCTCTATTTAGTTTCCTCTCCATCCCCACTTTTGATCTAACATGTCAATTCTTCTCCATCCGGCCAAATTTTGCAACGGGAACATTAAGCAAAAGATATTCCCAAGGTGCAAGGGGAATATTAAGCAAAATATATTCACGAGGTACAAAGAATCACTAAAGAGTTGCAAGGATCTAGTGTTTTATTTATTCCAATATTTTATGGGTACCCACACCCTACATAGAACAGAAGGCTCCAAGGTCATGTCACAACCATTAATACAAGACCTGCAACAGTCCAATGCAGCCCTTCATAATGGCGAACCCAAAATTAAAAACCTAAGATAGTTCCCAGAAGAAACTGAAATCTTAATATTAACTTTCAAAAAACGTTACATGGATCAAATTATCAAATAAAAAATAAAAAAACATGGATCATCTTCTTACTTTGTACCCATGCAAATGCACAAGCCAATAACATATCAAATGCTCTGCCCACTTAGAACCTCACATCCAACCACCAAAAAGCAAAGGACATACACCCAAGCCTGATTAGAAGACAAGAGTCCCTATGGTAAAGCTGATTAGCCATCTGCAATTTTCCTCTTCCGAAAACAGAACAACAATGCAATTCCAGGTAAGACACAGCTACCCCTATACAAAACTAGCCAATAAGAAAAGAATGTTGAAGACCACAAAGTCTTTACCTCAAAAAGAATATGCATCTTTTCCAACACCTTTTTTTATTCATTTGTAATGCATCTTTTCCAACATCATCATTCACTAGCATTCTTCCATATATTTTAAAGTTCTAACACAATAGATCACACCCACTCTTGCATATCATTTCATTTTAATATAAATATCCATTATGAGATGAAATACTATACATCAAGTTTTACTCAGACATACAAGAAGAACAATACTATACAGCATTTTATTAAGCTTCAGAAATTTTGTTTCCTTTATGGATGCTTCCCGCTTTTTTTTGTACCTGAGCTAGTTGTAATGATTTTGGAGATTTTTTGGTTGAAGCACCCAGAACGTGGGTTGTTGTGACCTTGTTTTCTTCTTCTTTTTTTTCTCGTCTTTCTTTTCCCCTTTTCTCTTTGTTGCCCTCGAGTACCCAATCTATGGGCCAGAATATTCATGGGCCTTTTTTTAAATTTTGTATACGTATATAACTACATTCAAATTCCACTTATCTCATCATCATCATCATAGCTTTTTCCCAACTATCTAGGGTCGACTACACAAATCCTAGTTCGACATGCTGCTCTATCAAGGGTCATACCCTCAGTGAGGCCATAAGTCACCTGTTATCATATCTTTTTCTCACTACTTCCACCATATCCTTTTGAGCTTACCCCTTGCCCTTTTTGAGCCTACCCCTTGCCTTTTTTGAGCCTTCCACTTAAACCAACTTGCACTTCCTAACAAGTGATATATTGGGTCCACACTGCACATGGCTAACCCACCTAAGTCTACTTTCTCTCGTCTTATCACCTATTGGAACCGCACCTAAGTTCTGATGAATGTATTCATTTCAAATTCTATCCCTTCATTTCTTGCCACTCATCCATCTCAACATCCTCATCTAAGCTACACTCGTCTTATGGGTATGTTGTTTCTTAACCACCCAATATTCTGCCCCATAAAGCAAAATTGGTCTCACAGCTGTCCTATAAACCTTCCCCTTCAGCTTCATTGGTATTTGGCGATCACATAAAACTCCGGCTGCACATCTCCACCTCGCCCACACAACTCTAATTTTGTGTACAGCATATTCCTCAATCTCTCCATTTTCCTAAATTATCGACCCAAGATATCGAAAGTGTGTTCTTTTTGGTATTTCTTGGCCGTCAATCTTAACTACTTCTTCGTCTCTACTCCTATTCTTACTAAACTTGCATTCCATATATTCTCTCTTAGTCCAACTAACTATAAAACCTCTAGATTCTAGAGTAACCTACAAAGTTTTAACTTTGTGTTGACGGTACTTTGCGTCTCACAAATCAAAACTATGTCATTCATAAACAATATACAGAATAGTACCTCATCTTGTAGGTACCTTGTTAAGTCGTCCACAACTAAGACAAAGAGGTATGGACTCAAGGCGAACCCAAATGTAGACTTATCGTCACTAAAAACTCATTCGCCTCTCCACTAGTTGCTCGCACACTAGTTAGCGTTCCCTCTTACATATTTTTCACCAAGTCGATATAGTATTTGAAAACTCTTTTCTTTTACAACACCCACCAACTTAAACCTCAAGGTCCTCTATCATAAGCTTTCTCTATATCATTAAAGACTATGTGGAGGTCTTTTGCCCTCACCTTAAACTTCTCAGTCAGTTTCCTAAGTAGGATAATAGCCTCAATTGTTGACCTCCTTGGCATAAAATCGAATCAGTTTTCTAATACACTTGTTTCATGCCTTAGTCGTTGCTTAAGAACTCTCCCCCACAACTTCTTAATATGGCTCATAAGTTTAATCCCTAGATAGTTCGCACAATTTTGTATGCCTCTTTTGTTCTTGTAAATAAGTACCACAATACTTTTCCTCTATTTGTCTGGCATTTTCTTTGTTGTCAACACCTTATTGAATAGCTTGGTCAGCCATTCAATGCCGATCTCCCCCATGCACTTCTAAACCTTTATCGGGATACCATATGGTCCTAAAACCTTTCCTATCTTCATGCTTTTCAAAGCTTCTTTCACTTTCGATATCCTAATCCTATGAATGTATCTAAGACCTCCGCCCTCATTTATCGCAATGGTTCCTTCTACCGTTGTGCTTTCATTGTGTTCGTCATTTAATAATTTTTTAAAATAAACTCTCCACCTTTTGTTGACCTCTTCATCCTTCACAAGACCTTTTGATCCTCACTCTTAATGCATTTAATATGGTCTAGATCCCTAGACATATTTTTCACCTTTTCTTGTTCCCAGTTTACTATATAGATGATCATATGCCTTAAGTTTAGCCTTGCTTATAGCCTTGCATACTATTTGCTTAGTGTTTTTCTCAGCATTTTTATATTCTTCTAAGTTTTTATCATTTCTATAACATTCCCAAGTCTTATAACATGATCATTTTTTGCCAATGCCCTTTTGAACCTCATCACTCCACCACCAAGTTTCATTATCGGAATTTCTTTTCGCTCTAGTTTCTCTTCTTTGCCACTTTCTTAATACAGTCAATCATCTCATTCCACATAGCATTGACCTCATATTCAGAGTTCATTTTCCTTCTTTAACTAATAATCCCTAAATAAGTCTATTTTCTCATTTTTTAAATTCCACCATCTAGTTCTTAGACACCTATTAATTTCACCACTTCTCTTCCATCTCTTTATGTAGACGTCCATCACCACAAGCCCATGTTGCCTTGTTAAACTCTCCTAGGATAACCTTACAATCTCTACATAATAGTCGATCTACCTTCTTAACAAAGAAGAAGTCTATCTGGCTTTTATATGACCCACTTTTATAGGTTATTAAATGTTCATCTCGCTTTCCAAAGTAAGAGTTTGCTATTGCTAAGTTGTAGGCCATAGCTCAAATTCAACTTAGACCATAAAAAAATATTTACACATTCTCAAAAAAAATAAAAAATATTTACACAAGTAGAAAAAGGGATTAGATAAGGAGAAAAAAGAAAATGATAGGAGGATGCACAATTGGCCAAAAATAGGGAGAGAATCCACAAGCAAATGAGCATCCAATGTCATTGCTGACCCCCAAGTTGCATTAGTAGCTCCTCCTAGGACACGGTACAATGAGACACCATCTAAGCTACAACTCTAAATGATAGCCTTCAGAAAGCTGGCCAATCTCCATGCCCACCTAATAATGCTAACCAAGTTAATAACCTGTTGAAGAGAATTCACATTTTGGTCAATAAGATGGTCACTTGTATCATCTCGAAGTCATAAAAATCAAAGAGATACCTTAAAATGTCTCCCACACAACTCTCATGCCGATCTGAAAAATGTTCCAGCCATAGTTGATTGAACATTCCCAAAGGAATCTAAAAACATTTTGCTCTTCTCCCAAATTTAGGTGTAACAGATCCATCCTAAAGTAGCAACCAATGTTTATATGGTCCAAAAATCTAAAGCTAAATATTCTTTGCCATCCTTGACTCTCTAATGAGGTAATGGGCTCCAAGAGATCCAATTGTGATTGCACTCCTAGGATGAAAAAGTCCAAATGTGATAGCATTCCTAAGATCCAATTGTCCCATTCCTTCTAGTGACCCAAATAATATCACATAAGCAAAAGTCCCTGCTTTGGAATGAGAGGAAGCTCAAGAGAAGTTTGTCGCAAGACAGCATCACCCAACATTGTCCTTAAGAGATTTCCTAAGAAATTCTACCATGAATAGATGTTGGGGAACTGAATCTAGCAGTTATAGAGAATGTCACTTAGAGGGATTGATCTACAAAGACTAGCCAACCAAAGGGCAAGGCTATTGGGTAGGCTGGGTTCCCCTAAATGATGGAAAGTTGGGGATCTGACATGTTTCGTGCAGTGAAGCATGCTGATATGGTAAAATCAACCTATACAATTCCAAAATTACAAAGTACAAAATCCTATTAATATGGCCCATATGGAAAAAGAGAGGGGATTGGTTAAAATTGGTTTGTTATAGTTAGGAATTGAATACAATCACAAATAACAAGATATCAAGGGCAACATTGATTGTCAGCAATAGGGCACTTATTTTCATAAATTGGAAGCGAGCCAGTGCTTCAAGATGGTAAGCAACCAGAAGCTCCCAGAATCGTCTTTGAAAACCGTTAGTTGTCTTCATTTTGACAGCTAGTCATCCCAAAAAATTACAAAAGAAATAACAAACTCATTTTAAACTCCACGAGAATTAGTGAACATAAACACAATTGTCCCCATTAGTTTTTCAATGATGGCTAAAGCCACATTAGAAATTGAAGAAACAAACACCAAAATTACTAAATAATACGTCTTTGAAGCCAGAATCAAAGAATTGAATTCAAGTTCCATGTGACTTACCCCAGCGGAAATACAGAATAAGCCCAATGATAAATGGCAGACAAAATTCAGAGCCAAAAACAACAAAGCAGAAATTCCATCCACTATCATAATTAGAAGACAGTTAAACTCGAAATTAAAAGAGTAAACGGAAGAGGAGAAAGTGATCTCACTTCAGATTCAAGCTTGGTGATGTAAGAAATTAGGGCAGCTTTGTCCCTCTGCTTTAGTGTTTCCTCATCGAGCCCAACTTCTCGAAGCCTTGTCCACAAAGCCTCATCCCCATTGACAATGGATGGAGATCCTTGCAAAGAAACCCTAGAACCAGGAGACTTCAGAGTACCCGAATTCTCCTTTTTGCGTGGACTCAGCATCTTGAGGCCAGGTTTCTCAATCTCGAAAGTTGCTTTGAATCAGCTCTCAAGGGTTTCAAAACCCTAGAATTATTCGCCCTGTAAAACCCTAACACAGCTAGCTTCCACCGTGCTAACCGCCCGCCCGGTAACGGGAAACCTTCACAGCACTCTCTCTCTAAACTGTAAAGTTCAGTCGCTTTCTCTCTCTAGACCACAGCAGTATAGCTCTCTCTCAACTTCGCAGAAGAGAGAGAGTGGAAAAAAAAAACCCTCTGCACTGCATACACCTGAGCTGCCTCAGTTTGGGAAGTGGGCCAAGGATGTGAATATAAAAGAAATTGCTCTCTTTTTCTCACTGCAAGGCATGCTTCCACTTTAGCGAGAAGAACCCAATTTCCAATAAGCCCTCAACTCCCCTGTACTTACATTTTACTCCCTCTCTCTCTCTCTCTCTCTAAAACACACAAAAAAAGGAAAAAGATAACCCAATTTCTCAACTCTCTCTCTCCTTCCATTCAACTTTATTTAACTCTAGCTTTTCTTTCACTGTAATACTCCAAAGTCCAAACAAAATAATAACCCCACGCTCTTGTTTAAAGCTTGAACTTAAAAGGAGAAAAAATAAAAAGCAGCAACTGAACTAAGGGTGGCAATGAGCGGGGCCTGGGCTGCTTCGCTCGGTTAGTAGGGGTGGCAATGGGTTAGGCATGGGTTGTCAGGTTCGGCTGGATCCGGATCTAGATCAGAATGGATTCGAATCCAGGTTTTAGACCTGAGCTTGATCCATTGGGTTAAAAAATTAGACCCATACCCATACACATATACATCGGGGCTCGAGCCTACCCCATTGGGACTTGGGTCGATTGCCACCCCACTATCAACAATTTTTTTTGTTTTTTATTGTGCCCCTCTTTTTGCCATCATATACTGTATTATTGGTAACATGGTCACAATCACCCACTATTAGATTTCAAACCGTATGATTTTTCACTTATTTGTTAAAAATGACTATTACTTCTAATTATATACCATCCTTAATATACCCAAATGAATAGGGTTTAAAGTAAAGTATTTTATCTCTAATAGTCTACGGGTATGGGTCGAATCCAACTGGACCCGGACCCATATAGTATTCGGGTCCAAGTTTTGGCCCGATCCAAATGCTAAACCCATACTCGACCCGTGTCGGGTATATCGGGTGGGTCCCATGTAGGGTTCAGGTCCATTGCGACCCCTATCGGTTAGGACCGGGCTAAAATCAAATGAAGAAAAATCTAAGGAGAAAAAAAAGTTAAATCAGGGCCTTAGCCCAACCTTCATGTCACATTTTGTAGTGCAGGTCCTATAACCAAAACACCCGCATTTCCCACTCACTCTCTTTAAGTTGGTCTAGCACAGTTAAGCTAGTCTAACACATTTTGTGTCAATCGACAGAATTTTAATTACAGTCAAAAAATGTGGGGGAAAGTATTTATAATTTTCCATTTTTACAACTGCTTTGTCAATCGTAGCCCAATCTAATTCTGGTTCACCCTAGCCTGTTGGATTCCAATTTTTAAATCATTGGAATTAGTAAGTCAAATTCACCGAATCATATCGAGATTTAGCACTCAGTACCAGGGGACTCGGATCGACTGAATCGCATATATTCCTTTCATTTTATTTTTTATTTTTTTACAAAGTTAAAATTATTATTAATTATTATTTGGACTTATTGTCACACTAGAGAATAGGTCCGATCGCTGTCTAAAATGCCGATTTGCCAATCTTGTCCGGATTTAGGAAGGCCAGTTCGGTTGGCTAATTCGGTCTTAAAAACACACATTGAAACGAAATATAAACCATTTAAGAATTTGTTAGATGTGAGGTCCAAAAGGATGACACTTTAAAAAACTTAATTTTTTGCGCTATTGATTCTACATTAAAGAGTTGTTAAAGTTCTCAAACGTGCAGGATGATCCGTAGGAATGGATATACCATGTATTAGCTCAGGTAAAAGTCTCAAACCTCACCTAGAAGCATCAAATTTTAGGAGTGTGGCCTCCAAGTCTAGCTGACAAATCTGAAAGTAAATAAATCAAAAGCACTTTACATATGCTCTAAATAGAATAACTTTTATTGATCTAATTTTTTTGATAGTCAAATTAAGTGTCTGCGATTTACTTTTTAAAATATTATGTTGTCATAAAAGGCAATCCCAAAATTTGTAGTTATTTTGCCCAAAGGTGCAAATACACAGTATACTCCCGTGGGAGCATGCTATACATATTAATAATGTTTTTACTATCCATCTGCTCCCTCTTCAAAACCTCCACCAGCAATCTCTTTTAGATCCCAAATTTTAAGGATGTGATGTAACCAACTTACCAACCTCAAAGAAAACTTTTTTAACTATTACTCTTTATGTGCCTTAAAAAAAAAAGAAAAACAACATATATAAGGTTGCAATTTTAAAATGTAGAATTAAAAATGCACATCAAAAATCTATTGGAAAATATTGTTTTAACGTTAAAACCCTCTAATTGATAATCCTAACATTGAGATATACAAATATAAAATAAATAAAAAAAGATTTTGAGTCCCAAAAATAGTGCATCTTGCAACACATTATCTAGACAGCCAATTTTCAAGATTTTCATATGTTTATAGATCTACTTGATTTTAACCATTTTTTTAGTTTAAAATTTTATAATTAGATATGAAAATAGATTTTTGAAAAAATCGTAAGAATATTTTACACCAAAATTACATGTTATGAAAAAATTACATGTTATGAAATTTTTTGGAGATGCACCTTAATTGAATTGTTTAAGATTGCAACTTTATACAAACCCCCTAAAAAAAAGGGTGAGGTTTGTATAAGGTTGCCTCCTTATACTGTACAAATAAGGTGCGCTAATAAAATTTATTTAGAGATGTCATTTCGGCGTCGAAAACCTTACAATGGCTCAAATCTCTTTTCATTATTAATTATAAAATTTAAAATTTTAAAAATCGTACAAATCTAGTGAAAGAAGAAACACTTGAAAATAAGCGGTTCAGATAACTTATTTCAAAACTCACCATTGTTTGGAGTTAGAATTCTTTTTCTTCTTTATGTCCATTCATATCGATGTCAAGAGGATCACTTGGAAAGTTCTCCAACGTCGGAATACTCTCCTCTGTATGTTTTATGAGGTGCATCTTATTTCAACAATATAAAGTTGCAACTTTATGTAAACTTTTTCTAAAAAAAAAGAAAAAATGAGGCAAGATTACACCAAAACCATGCAATTTTTTAAGGGAATGATCCAGATGTTCAAGAACTTAAAATCCAGTTTTTTTAATCATCTAGCTAAAATTAAATGACTCTTGAAATTCCAAACTAAAAAAAAGCTATCGCAATAAAGTATTTTGCCCCAAGGGGTAAATATATAACATTCCCCCAATGAAGCATAGTACACGCGCTCATCAATCAATGGATAATTTTATTAATTAGGAGTGGTGCCTGAATATAATAAAGTCTTACAGCAAGCTACGACTAAAAACAGGTACTTAAAATCACTTGGTCATACGATCTGTACAATTTAGAAAAACAAAATTTAAATTCACGATCACCATGCAATTTAAAATTTATTTACCATTTTATATTCATTAAAAAATTGGATCCAAACTCCACCTTTGAAGTTGTGAGATGAGAGTATGCTCATTCATGGAAACCACGACCCTTAAATAATTATCCTTTTATTAATATTAAAAGAGGGCCTTCTTTATAAGACTATAATCATTTTGAGGTTGACGCAAGTGGCGACGCGTCAACATCGGCGGCGGTAAAGCACAGTACGTTACCACGGACCCGGGGGCCTGCTATGAGTGCCATGAACTCTCATTAATTATTGTTTAATTATGTTAGAAAATAAATACGGATGTGATTAGTGTTTAAATGCCTGTCAATTCAGTTTAAAATCTTCTATATTACAGTTACAAAAGCGAGAGACAACTAAATTTTTTTGAAGAAACTTTGCTTGTGGATCTTCTCTGCTACACCAGTAGCCTCGGCCAATCTTCCTGTCACCAAGGATGGTACCTTCTTTCTCTCTCTAGAGAATCTATGTCTCTCTCTCTAGTTTTTCTAGAGTTCAGTGGACCACGAATCCCCTACAAAAGTCATAAATTATTTCTCCTACAACATCATTGAGTATCAAGCTTTCTGATAATGGCTCTTCTTTTGCCTCAATTTTCGTATCGTCACCTCTGGCAATTGAAAATAGAGGAGTGGTTAGGTGCCTCGATCTAGCCTCCGGGTCGGGTTGACCTGGTGGCGCGGTTATGAGTTCGAGATGGACTCGGGACCTAAGACCGCTCTCTCATAAACCGTGTAAAGAAGACACGGGCAATAATACCAACTAATGAGAGAGAAATTAAGTTCGCAAGGTGGGACTCACCTTGCATGGGTCCGTGACATGCTCGGGCTAACTCACGTAGGCATCATCTTAGATCACGTTGGAATACCTCCCTGGCTTGTGGCTGGTTCGGAATCGCCTCTCTTGACATGTTTTCATTTTACTTGCAAAACACACACACACGTTAGAGTATAAACAAGCGGGTTTGAAGACCCCACCTTGTCATAGGGTGAACACACACGTGCGTGTGTGCTCGAGGAGAAGTGAAAGAAATAACATAAAAGAGTCGATGCCAATTCGACAGCCGTACGACGTTTCCTTGACGAAGGACTTTTAGTGAGGTCTTATAGTAAAGAAAGAAAGAAATGGGTGAGATAGAGAAAATGATAGAGAAAAGAAAGAAGAGTTTGAAGGCTAGTATGTCTTTTAACTAGTCCTTTAGAGAAAAGTAGGATGGAGGTTGGTTTGGATTTCACCCAAGAGGCAAAGAACGGATATTTTTGAAGAGAGAAGAAGAAGAAGAGGAAGAATCGGAGAAGTAATGAAAGTCAGCTTGGCTCTCGCTGAACTTTCTAAAGAGAGAGGGGAAGGGAGGAAAGAGAATGAAGATGTTTAACCTGACGGCTAGACAGGCGCAATGGCAAAGACTAGCGTGACGACTGATCTAACGTGGCAGCTAGACGGGCATGGTAACTGGACCGGCATAGCGGCTAACCTACTTGACGACAAGACTGGCGTGACGACTAATCTGGCACAGTGACTGGTCTTGCGTGGCAGCTAGACGGGCATGGTAACTAGACTGGCAGAACGGCTAAACTACTCGACGACAAGATTGGCACAACGACTGTCTTGATGCAGTGACTAGTCTGGCGCGGTAGTTAGACGGGCACGGTAACTTGACCAGCACAACGACTAAACTACTCAATGTCAAGACCGACACAATAGCACAAGGCTCAGCTAGCCCTCTGGTCAAACTAGCAAGAGGAGAAAGTAGAAAGAAGATTGTGCTCAGTAATGTATGCTACCATGCAGGGCAAAAAGTGGGAAGGAAGAAAAGTCGCGCTCAGT